GCCGTTCGAGCTTGTCTCATGTGAGACGACCTTGGATTTACCAACCACAGTGCTCGCAGACGCCAGTGTCATGTCTGCAAGGTACACCCTCCCCAGCCGACCACGCATAGGAAGCCCACGTATCCGATGCAAAAACAAAATAATGAAACCACGACGATATGCACAATCTGCAGTTCTGTTGGTCCTGGGTTTAGAAAATAAAAGTAACTCTAAATGTTTTTTTCGCGGTTGCACAAATTTGTTATCAGGCTTTGTTATGTGTTGGCAGATAAGCGCAAGGCTTTTCTCAAGGAAGGAAAACGTCATCTGCCCCATATGGGTAAGATCGCTTACGTCAAAGTAATAAGAAAGTTATGGCTGGTAATAATCAGCATATTATTACCCTCTATTTTATTACCCTTTGTGTTATGTTGGCATTAATTACAAAATCGAGTCACTACATTTTTCATACAGTTTTCCAGATTTGTTTACAATGCTACTGGAGATGCACCAATCAGCTTGGATGAATCCCTCTAATTATAACTACGATCTGCAAATAGGTATCGGGGCATTTAATTAGTTCGGTAATTAACTACTCTAGACTCTTGTTTACTTAAATTTTTTTGACTGACTTGGAGTTGCGTGATTCCACAGTTGTTATGAAAGTACGGACATATAAGGGCAGTTGTTTTACTGATATTGTGCTAGGAGTGTCCATTTCCGATATCTGTATGCCTCTAAATCGTGGCCTAAATGTACATGTTTCTAAAGACAAGGCATCATCTGGGTAGTCCATTGCAATCGTGGCAATTTTCGCATTTGCCCCAGTCTATATTAAGATATTTTAAATTAACCAGATTTTCACTGCTAGACTTCTAGTCCCTACGGATTAGACTTGTATCTGGCCAACTACAAGGGAATCATTGTACAAGCAAATTTTGTAAGTAATCCCATCAGTTTTCACTTCTACCTATGTTTGACATACTCAACTTTTTTTTTATTCATCTACAGGCAAAATAGACAACAAACTTCGTTTAAGTAACTACTGTCTAACTAGGTGTGTGACTTACCTTGTACTGACCTTTCTATAAATTAATTTAATCAAAGAAATAGTGAACAAAATCTTGGAGATATTGTCCACCGTTTTCTATGATCTTACACCATCTCTCAGGTGACGTACGAATGCCTTCGTGAAAGAATATTGCAGGATTTAAGGCAATGCATTCTTTGATGAATTTGCGCACATCGTCTAGAGTTTCGAACTGTTTATCAACTAGGGCGTGCTGCATTAAACAGAACAAATTAAAGTCGCTTGGAGCCAAATTTGGAAAATATTTTATCCCAAGTTTTCAGAAGCTCGTAAAAAGTACAGCCCTCGTGTGCTACCAGACACACGGGAGATCCTTCCTCAAGTGGCTGTCCTGTTCCGGCGTCGATGTACTGGGTTACCTGAAATCTACCCACGACGTTTTTTCGTTTGAGATAAAATATAAATCTCATCATCCGCCACAATTTTCCACATAAAATGTTTTTTGTTGCAGGCGTGCAAGCAGTGAAAGACATGTGTCTATAGGTTGACCCTGGTTGTGTCCGGTCAACACATGTTGGACTCAAATTCCACGTTTTTTTTGAATTTTTCCATTTCAATGCAAATCTATTTGGGTGACACTAACTGAGCTGCAAGGTTCTGTTTAGTTTGTGCTAAGTCTTCTTTCAATAGAGCTTGCATATGCGCATTTTCAAACTTCCGAGGATGTACAAGGCGTGGCTGGTCACTAAGATCGAATTCACCACTTGTAAACATTTATGCCAGCATCATGATGACTGCAAATTGATTACCGTGCTTTTGAAGCATTCTTGCCTTGATGGAATGCGCATAAAATGCAGTGTCGAACAGGCTGTTTATCAGCTGTCATCATTCACTCTGGTATTCTGGGATGTTATGCAACTCATGTAGACTTGTCACTTGGTGTTCTGACACAGTGTGTCTCATTTCTTACAAAATCGCAACGGGCCGCTTAAATATTTCTGTTTTATGTACAATTTTAAGCTCGAAGAAGGAGCTGTGAAAATCAAAACGTACTATACATATTTAAACGATGATATTTTTTGACAGGATGCGACTGTTATTTGATATTTCGGGCCAATTTCAACTCCACAATCAAAGAGACAATAAAGCTGCAATGGGCCAGAAGTCCAGCGTCCCCCAACTAGAGCTGATTCACAAACATGATCTGTGGAAATGTACCGCTGCTTTGTAGCCAGATGGGTTTTCTGCCCTACCCCAGGATGTGGGACTGTCCATTCACTCATTTTTAGTCTCACGGGTCAAATTTGGATGCGTGACACTGGCTCCATTGACATCCAAATTGCTAAAGCTGTCGATATTTGGAATTTTGTTTGTTTTCGAGTGGCATGAAGATTAATTCAGAAGCTGTTTAAAGCATGGCTGGGAACAGTTCTGCATTTGAGTGGACACGTATGACGCGAATACTAATGGTACATCTCATGGAAGAGCTGTGAGTCTTAAGTGCCATATCCCACGAGCACCCCAATGACCAGGAGCGTGCATTAGAAGCGATAACTGAATCAGGTTAAAATCAGAAATCTTTTTCCGTCTGAATGTGTTGCGATTCCTTTCACTTTCCGATGTCAAGTAGGAATTCAGAAGAATTCACTTAAAATACACCGAAATCACAGCATAACTATGGCCTTGAAAATGCACCCTTCTCTTCACATTATCTGTTCATGCACTCAAAAGGTAGACCGCAGGCCAATAGACGCTAATTTAATTGGAGACTTACACAGCGTCTTCTCTGAATTTTAAGCTCATTATTTAACACATTAACGGTTCAGTCCATTTGTTGGTATAACTTTTATACTCTGGCACCATTTATCACATTGAGAAGACAGTTATTACTAATAAGATCCAAAGGTGTTTTTATTTGACACTTCTTTTGAACTAATGGAACTGGACACCTTGAATGTCAATGTAATGTCATTAGAATTTCACCATACCCAATTACTGCTTTCTCATAGAACATTAAAGTGCATGATGTTTCAGATGAAAATTGAGTAGAATTTCTGAAGTCTATAATTAATGGCGTTTCTGAGGATTTCGACAACGAGGTTAGGATTCAGCATCTTGATGAATCGGAAAAGAGGATTTCGCCACGAAAGTCCTAACAAGCAGCTGATTTGGGCCGTCGATGACTTAGCCAAATTTTTGGAAATTCAAGAAATCTGAATGTATTTAACAGAGTAAACATACCATATTCTTGTTAATCAAAAAATACCTTTAATCTAAAACAATGATGAAAAAATATGTGGTCAAAAGATTCAACAAGGTGTGCGTTTTCCGAAAATTAAAACTGACGGATTTTCCTTTGCATCAATAAGTTTTAATTTATCTTCTCGATCGGCCATGGCTTTTAAAACCTCACTATTAATTCATTGTAATCAAACATCACGACTCAGTTTTCCCCTCTTATATTTTTAAATTACTCATCTATTTGCAGCCACCAAGAATTATTGTTCAAAAGAAATCTCTTTGATCTGATTTTTGTACTAACGTGGTGTACAAGTGTGTACTTACTTTTCAATGTTTAGAAAACTTTCATTATTTTTGTAACATTAAAAACTGCTTATTTCCTTATTCATTCACGACGAGAAATAGGTTTTATGATCAAACATAAACTGTCTTCGGTTAAGAAATTATCTTTGCAATATTTCTTAACTAATGCAACTTCTGATGCATTCTGCAAAAATCTATTTCGTTGTTTTTGTCAGACATTTGGAAAGCATTTAATGTAAATTGACCCCAAACACTCTAATCCTCATAATAGTCATCAAATTTGAGCACTTTTGGTTGGCTAGGTTGGTAGTAGTAACTACTGGTGATGGAGACCCAGGCTGCCACCAAATGCGTCTTTGAGTAATGCGAGAGAAGCATTTGTGTGTTCTCCTTGGTTTGATTCATGTCGATACGCCTTTTGCATTAGTGTTGGAACAGGCGATGTGTACGTTGTCATAATTAAGTACACCTAGGCATACTGACATGAATTTAACATCAGAGTTAGTTGATCTCATATATTTTGCGTAGTCAATTGTCAGGAGGCTTAATGTGCTGTGGGCAAATTCGACAAAGTGCTTATTTGATGTTATAATCACATTGTCATGTAAAACTATATTAATACGCGTAATTGAGTATTTAAATGCAGTAGTTACGTGATACCATGCACCTACTGGACGAATCATTATTTTTACCACCAAAGGCTGATCTTAATCTGAGTATTTTGGACAGATGTGAATTCAAGTTCCGAAGTTATGCTGTCATAATTTTTTGCGTTCTCTTTAAATGTTTATTAATTTTCAGTTTTACCGACCTTTTTAAATTTAGAAATAAATTAACCACTTAACTCAAAGTCCAATGGGGTCATTAAATATTTTTTTCCGATTATTTGCATTCAAACAAATAAAATAGCATGTCAGTCTGATAAAAGGAGCAGTTTGCTTTTAAAAACAACGCAACGACTTATTCCGTAAATTAATAATTATTTGAATTCATATTTAAAATGCTATTAAGAACTTATGGTGCTGATGATTATTACGTCAAAGGTTACAATAAAGCCATATAATATTTTACAGAAGGTCTCACAATTAATCAGACTTGAATTTGTGCTATGACAGTTATGGGGATTTCAAAATTGTAGCATATCGACATAGGATGTAGTGGGATTTACTAAGTGCAACTGGAAGCCCAAATGTGACACAAGATTGTGAAGGGCATTCAAGTGTGCAAACTAACGAAGAAACTTGTTTGTCAAGTTAGCACGTCTTTTTCCCACTCCTACACGTGTTCACGCACTCCACCCTTATCGAATTGCACCTGGATGACCAAGCAGGGCATCGCATGTGCCACTTCAAATCCTTCCAGGAAGAAACCTTTTTAATTGAAGACTTTCATTTTCTCACCAAGGTTAAAAAGTAAGGAGGGGAAAGCCAAGAAACGGTGCAGAATAATGGGCAACGCGCTGGGGCCGCGAAAGAAGCTGCCGAAGGAGGACTTGGAATTCCTGATGAGCAACACGCACTTCACAAAAAAACAGATTAAGCAGTGGTATAATGGATTCATTGTAAGTTGCTGAAATTTCAGCAAAATGCCTAATCATAATTGCAGCCATGGAATCACTTTATTAATTGTTGATCTTATAACTTATCCCTATTTTTACGGTTAACCTCCTTGTCAATTCTTGTGCCTGTTATTGCTACATTCTTTTTGCGTTGGTCTTGACAATTAATCATGCTCTCTAATTTTATCTTTCATGCGTTTGGATTGTTCTTTTCATCGCGATGTCTGTTAACCCAGGTTCTGTAATTTTTTTCCATTTTTTTACCAAACGAAAAATACTACTCCAGTGCGTTTAAACAACCCAGTATAACCATTTTGTCTTATCCACGGCAATATAGGCGTGGTGAATGTTGTGTAAATTTTTTAGTCCTCAAAACGCGAACTGAACACAAATGTCAGCAGACCACAACAAAAGAGGCGGTGACTGGTTACTTTCTCTGCTTTGGATTCAGAGGGGTTGAGGTTAAGGAAAAATAAAATTGGCTCACTCTTTCGTAAACTGTTACCATCACCGTGGTTACCCTGGCTGAATATTTCACAACAAGGAAACTGTGTGCGTTAAAGTTTCAAAAACGTGAAACATGCGCTCTGTCACATGTAAACGGAGTCTGAAGTAGTTAACACTTAAACTGGATCTATTTTTAGGCAGGCTATATTTGTCCACTCAGACTAACCTAAAAATGACAACTGCAGAAAAAAATGCTCCCAGAGTAGTTTTCTTCCATCCTGTACAGCCTAATATAACAAAAATTGTAGTCTTTGAGCAGCGTGTGAGTTTGACTGCACAAAATAAATTGAACACTAATTATATTTTCGAAAATGCTAAAAAAAGCATACATTAACAATGTGTTTAGAAGCAAAACAAACTAACAACCTACGACTCGTTCATTCCTCACTTCGATCTCATTTAACTTCAGACCAAAATCGCGGCATTTTGTTAAAATTTGGCAAAACTGATTTTTTCTAAAGGAAACTTGCCAAAACTGTGTTTTTGACAGTTAACAGTTTAACTCTATTAATTGTTAATAAGCAATTCAGAATGGATTCAAATGGGTTTGTATTGGCTAGTGGCAGAATGGATTACAAGGCTCTGGCCTTTACTTTAGTGTTTGGTCAGTGGAATAGGTACATTAGATTCTGAAGTAAACAGTTCTAAATTTAAGCGCATAAGGAACTTAGGTTAGCCTTCTCTCGTCTTTGGAGGGATCGACATGCAGGATCTCACCTCGTAAGTGGTAACAATTTAGCTCTATAGGGAGTCATGGTAAGCTAATTAATTAATAATGGTGTTCACATGATGAATACTCTACAGTCTCGCGATATATATATATACTCACACTGACAAATTGTTACTCAATTTTAATCACTTTTAATTTATCGAACTGAAAACGCCCAGGAGTATCTGAACAGGTACCCGTTTTTGGCCAAAACAATAAAAGCTCTCTAATTGAAGTCGCGTTTTTGTCCTGTTCTTAGACGTCGTGGGCATTCTAGACAAAGGGTTCGGTTATTTAGCTCGGGACTTCGCATCTGTTAACCGGTGTCTTAAACTTTGAGTGGATGCGGCTTTGAGCCCTAGTTGCAATTTTTCAAGTTCCCTTCCTAAAATAAACGATAAAACTCAAATATTTAAACGAAATCTGTGAATTTTAACAACCGACAGCAGTTAGATAATTAACGGCATCACCTAGACGCAGAATAATTCCTGTAAACAAGCATTTTGGGAAAAACGCGTGTGAAATGGGTAAATGAACGATTTAGCAGTTTGTTCTAAATATGGTAAAAAATCTTCACTTTTTTCGCATTCTCATATCCATACAAAATGCCTTGAATGGATTCACTTTTTTATATAATTGAAGCTGCAGTTGTTGTAAAGTCGTTGGTTTTATCCTTTATTCATAAAAAAATTTCATGAATAGGTAAGAAGTTTAGATTTCTTGCAGCATCAAACACCAAACCCGTTTTAACGGCTTGTCGTTTTATTAATTCACCAAACTAAAAAAATCGAATTTTAGAAACAGTTTCCAAACCCAGTTACGCAAATTCTTTTAGGGTAAGTTTGAAAACAATTCGAAGTTAAGTCTTAAAAAAATTAATTACATTGAGTGATTCGCGTTTCTTCGCCTCACAGAAAGTTGTTTTTTTTTTCTGTTAAAACTAAGCAATTTTCAAAATTAGAGAGACATTCGTAAGCACACAATGCCAAATCTGATTTTCGGTGCTCCTCTAAATAGTCTTTGATAAGAATGAGTAAGGGATAGATAATCTTTGATTATTTCATTGATAATTACTCCCAGTTAATAATGCAATTGTGGGCCGACATTCACAAAAATTTTAGTTGCGAAAAATGCTGCGTATCAATTATGAGAATGTATGTTCTCGGTAGTGGTAACTAAACACTTTAAACGTTTATGCTCTTATGTTGAAAGTCAAAAATGCACACGCATGGTCTAAAATCATCGAAGATATTCCTACTTAACGTAAGTTGATGCGTTGACTACGAGGCTCCGACAGGTGTGTATGCGTGTACATACACGTTTGTTCCCATTTTTGCTAACATCCAGTGATTTCAAAGCGAATCCTGGTTTTTCAATGCATCGTAGAGCTTTTTATGTGGAGTAATCCTAAATAAATGACAACCGCATTTTATAAGACGACACTGGACATGCGAGATTGCTAGTGTAAAATGACAAATAATGGGGTTCAAAGTGAAGTAAATATGAATATGGCTCTAATTAGGACTCATTCTGAGTGATATGCAAATTTCCACGACCAACCACCACATCTCCATTAAACGGGATGTCCCTTCTGGGCAGTCCCTACTATAAATGTGCAAAGGGGTTATTTTCCGTGCTAATTGGATATGTGAAATCTTAGAGTATAATAAGCCCAGTCAAAACATTTAATTTTGCTAAAAACCGTACTTTCTTTCATAATAGCCAATTCTCCATTACCTAAAATTGTTAATGGTAGCCTAGCGAAATCAAATTAACAGAAATGACCCTTGTTTCTGTAGAAGGCCCATCGTAATGTATGCCCAGATGGGCGTTCAGTCCTAATGAAATCAACACATATTTTCTTGATATCATGAAAGAAATACGTTTGTGTTGTAATATTTTCGACAGTTGCGCTGCTACGCCCCCACGTTCAGCTTAAATTGGCAGAACCATATTTGTTGTCCTCCTGTTTAAGTGCTTGCAGGCAGTTGCGCTGTTGTCGCAACTAATGGAACGCCTGTGGAAAGGGAGGCCCGGAACGGCACTGCGATCTTGCTGTGGCTCACTAAAAAAACTGTTTAGCTGCAGTTTGGGCTGATTTGCATTTTGGTGAGAGCGCTGTTTCAGAAGTGGCACAAAGTTTGAGTAAAGTACAGGCAATATTGTGTGCCTTATATAAACCACAGTAGTTTGGTGCTCCACTCTTCATGTTTTTGATTTTCCATTCTAGAGAGATTGCCCTTCCGGGCAGCTGAGCAAGAAAAAGTTCATTGAAGTGTACTCTGGTTTTTTCCCTGACGGAAACGCCGAGGAGTTTTGTACTCACGTCTTCAGGACCTTTGACAAGGACAACTCAGGGAAAATAGACTTCAAGGAATTCCTTCTTGCCATCAACATCACCTCCGGGGGTCGCCCTAAGGAGAAACTAGAATGGGCCTACCAGATGTATGACATCGACGGTAACGGAACGATCGAAAGGAGTGAAATGGTAGAAATTATTAGGGTAGGTCCACGTTTGACTTTGAGACTGTCCTTCGGTGATATCTACAAATCAACATATCAAGAGAATTTGTGAACAGCACTTAACTAAATTCTAGCTCGTGGACAACAAATGAACCTCTGGTGTATCACTCAAATGCTCAGCACAGTAAATAAAGTTTTTTTTATTTCAGTATGCTAGTTAGTATCATTAAAAATTTTAATTGCTCTTGGGAACAAAATGGAGGCAGTCACCCAATTAGAATTGTTTCATAACTTTCCTCTAAATTTACTCAACCGGTGAAATTATTGGTTACTTGTAATGCAGGACTTGTCTCAAACAAAAGGGTTTAATTTATACATCTGATGGTATCACGGCGTTTGTGAATTTATTGCAATTAAGTTAGCTCGTTTTTATTATTTATAAACATAGTGAGTAGATTTTTAATCTCTGGCGCACCGCATTCTATTCTAAAATACCTTTTAATGCCCTCTTGTTTAAATAATGTTAGTATACGGTATCTCACCATAAGAAGTCTAAAGATATAGAAGGCGTCATTTACAATGGGAACAAAAAGTAAAACACCTAAAACGCATTAATAAATAGCTCCGTGAGACCAAACGAAATTCCATCGCAAATTATTGCTATGCCACGTAAAGGACGATCAGGTTTGGTCGTCAATTGTCACCATTTTTGTGCACAGATAGTTTCTGAGGTCTGAAATAGATTTGTTAAGTAGAGAAGTGAATGAAATCCAATGTCCCTAGATTGGAACCACGTAGGTGTTTAGTAATGTCACTACGTCCACTTTAATTCCACTTCACCTTCTAAAAAGATAGACATAACAATTTTATCAATAACTTTTGTGTGCCTACCTAGTTCAGAAAATGCACATTCGTGATCTCATTGGCAATAATGGTTTGACAAAACGGTCTGCATTGCTTGTTCTTGCGTTTTTTTGGTTTAGTCAAATTCAACAGTTAATGTACCGTTTTCAATTTTTTATCTGACCAATTTTTCACCAATATCACTTATGCAATTTGTATGTAATTGTGAAAGTGATTGGCGCATTGAAAATGCTGCCTAATGGTACTCTATCTTGACATTTATTAATTTTTCAAAAAAATTGGTAAAAAACAATAACACGTATTACTAGTCACTGCCATAAATTCCTTAAAGTATCACTTCCAGTTATTCCGGGTGTGGTGTATTAACCCTGGTTGTCTAAATTATGCGAATGCATTACAATCAAAGGGTCATTTATCTATGAAAGATTTAATAAGATTCGTACACCTCTTCTGTTTTGGAAGTATAATTTTATATTTCAATGCATTCGGAACCTTTAATTAAGCGGTGTCAAAATTGGTGATATTCTTTCCCCTGTTGAGTTCGAGGTTTAAAAGCCTTCGAGAAAAAATGTCTGCGCAGTTAAAGATAGAGGCATTGCAGGGATTTTTCCTTTAAATATTTGCAACGTGCGGTTAATATAAATCATCCGGTTTCCATAAGACGTCCTCTTGACAGGACACTTATGCCCGTCGGCTCTGTGTTTTTACACTTTACGACCAACTTTTGTGTGTTTTTAGCTAAACAGGTCTCACGTTCCTTTTCGGCGTTGCCATTTTATTGATAATTATTCCTCATTGGCATAAGATCGATAACAGGTATATCAGGCTACTTCGGGGTCTGATTTCTTATTTTCTTGGCTGAATTTACCTTAACCACTTAACCATTTGCATGTGGAAGATTTTTTGAGACATGACTAAATTCACGGGGATTTTCTTCCTAAGGGAAAGCGACAAGAAGCTGTTGGGATTATTTTAAGAATCAAAAAGTGCTAAGGGAATCCAACACCAGCATGAAACGTGGTCTTCAATTGAAAGTCATGTTTTAAAAATACATTTCCAAGCAGTCAACGCTAACATGCCACTAGCACAGATTTCTGCATATTTAAAATAAGCTCTTTAATACGAAATTCAGAGTGAAAACCCATTAATTTAATTAAGGTTCTTACATTTTCCAAGAACTTAAAATAGCGCCAAGATGTGCATGGAGTCACTTGAAGTAGGCGTTTCATCGGAGGCAATGATGTGTGGAGGAAAATTATTCAGCGGCATTGCATCGCTGAGCGGAATTTTCAAGCATGCTATTAAGAACCGCAATTTTGGGTGGTCAAACGATGCAAGCAGTTGTATGTGCACCAAATAACCAGGCTGAAAACAAAATTAAATAAAGCGCCTATGTTTATAAAAGGTATGGCTAGATACAATAGTTCGACCAAAAGATTAGAAAATATCTATGACACTAAAAGTGCACATTTATTCAAACGCTTTAGAAATTTATGGACATGAGGTATAAGCAGTGTTTTAACAAAAACTGATTCTGTCATCAATTATGTTGCAAAGTGTATGGTAGCCACTAGCCATTTGAACTTTAGTTCGAGATCAGCCATAAAGACTTGAATTGAAATTGGGGAACCATCAAATTGTAGTTGCTTTAAACATTTTAGCTTCGATAAAATTACGTAAAGTTTTGTTGAAAAGTTCGTTAACACTCTGATTCGTATTTTGAAAAGTTTTAAGAGGCCTTAATTTTTCTTAATTTTTTTCCAAGACATTTGCTTCGACAAATTCAACTTACACACTTTTTCTTTGCCTATTCTTTTTGTTTAATCACTAAAATTGAGCTAACACTCCAATCAAATTTGGTCTACCATTAAAATCAACATTGCCATCAAGAAATCAGACAAACGACTTTGAAAAGTTCATTTCGGTTCTTGCATAATGGTTAACGACGTTAATTGTGTCGTCTGGAAATGAAAAATCGCACGCATTCGTACCTAGGTCAGATTATAACCTGGGTCAAACAGCAGCAAACCACTGTTTATGCTAATATAAAAAATCACCTATGCGCATGCGGGATACCTATTTAGGTTATTTCACGTGGAATTCTATAACCTTATATTCGTAATGTTCAATATCACATGGCTTCAAAATATCCCCGTAACAGTACGAGATTAGTGAATACAATTAATTCCCTGAGTGGGCGCTTGATTTAGTAATCAGAAATGGTACATGAAATGAACACAGAACGCATTCAAAACCAGTACAAATTTAGGGAACTACCTTCAAATTAAGAAATAAATCAGCTGTGTTAATGGCAGTCTTATTCTTAAAATTTCACAGCGAAAATTGTGACGAGTACAATTGTTAGATCATGGGTGCTAAATAAACCTTTGGCAAATGGGTTAAGTTTCTTACAACTCTCGTTTGTAATTCGTTGCGATTCACCTCTTATGACATATCTTCCTGCTGTAAGTGTGCATCAAAAAAAAATAATCCTTGCTTCAAAATAAGGCTTGTGCGTGGTTCAAAAATGATACCTACAAACTGAATAATTCAACTTAGTCGGCTAAAATCACTATATCTGCTTTAAAAAAAATTTTAAACGAATTTATTTCACTCGAGTAATGCACACTGATCCATTTGCATTAAAACAAGCAAAACATGCTAGAATTCTATAAATGGAATTAATTAGGAACCTTCATTGCTGCAATTTATACTTCTTTATAACTTCTCACCATAACTTGGACAACTATTATTTTAAGAGGATTCGGGTTACATCACATTAAAATTGGTAAATTTGCTATAACAGGCAGCGTTTGGATTGATATATTGTCTAATAACTATGAGTATCTAAAGATTTGCAAATACAGGTGTTCTACGCAATTTGAACACCTCACAGACCTTAGTTTTGAGATTGGTTTGTTAACAAAGTGGAAAATCCTAATTGCTCATTTGGAATAATTACGGTCTTAAAGCTGTTTAAAATATACAGTAGTAATATTAGAGTTGTGCATGAGGGCGTTCATCGTAAATTATTACTTGCGTTGCTCATTGCAACTTCTTCGTCAAATCAAACGTTGGCATCAAATGGAGTGGATTAATTAAAAGTTTAATTATTTATGCAGTCAGACTTTGCTTTGTCGATAAAAATATCAAGATATTTGCGACTAATTAAGAATCCGTAATATGAATTTCAGACTAAGCACTTGAATTAGCTCAGCAGGCGTATTAAAAATATTTAGTGATTTTCAGTAGATGTTGTTTCTAAAGGCTATATGTCTTGCCGATTTGTCTATGCCGTGAGATTACTTGTCATTGAAAATCTAAAAAACTTTTTTTATAAATGTTTTTATTCCAGGCAATTTACTCGATGCTCGGAGCCGACGGGTCCTCTGCAGAACTCAGCCCTGAGGCTCGAACAGAGGAGATCTTCGAGAAGATGGACGAAAATCGGGACGGTGTGCTCACCAGGGATGAGTTCATGAATGGCTGTTTATCGGACCAGTACCTTCTCTCAATGCTTCTCGCGGACGAATCAGTGGAATAAGATTAATGCCACTTTATTCCAATTAAAACTTTCCACTTTAAAGCCTTTTTTGCACTTCGACAAGACAAAAACATACTCTACTCTGCTTTGCATGCAAAACAAACTAAGTGTGCTTCTTACGTCCGTAAAGAAATGGCTCATTGGTTTTGAACTGCGTGTGTGTAAGTCTGTTAGATATGAGAGTGCACATTATACACGACTTCGTTACAGAAATTGACTCCATTCCTACAGTTTCTTTCACACGTTTATCACTTATTCTTCTAACTGTAAATACATCCATTTATATTAAGCAAACCGCATTTCTTTGAGTCGCCCAATACTTTCCTGCCTTTGGTCTTCAAGTTCCTGTCAGTAAACGCTGATAGGGACCAGGAGTGGCCAAATGCTAAGTTGAATTATTGTTTCGTGTGCACTGTCATAAAAGAGGGTTAACTAGACCAAGATTAATTTATTTGATTGATCATCAGTTGTGTCTCGCATTTGATTTAGCATCATTTGAGAATTTAATTAGGCATTCAAAGGCTAAGTGGAATTGCTTGCTTCGTAACCCAAAGTCTCTAGTGGGATGCAAATTCTTTTATTTAGTTATATACAAATAAGCAAGATCGACGTCTACTTCAGACAGAAATTGATTTCTTTTACAAGAATCTTCTAGAAGGACATTATACTGATTGTTATCAACTAATTTTAAATGACTAGACGGCTGTAGCACGCATGTTATTACTCCTTCATCCGAAAGAGGGGCTCATTTTTTGACGAACAACGAACTTCGCCTGCGGACTTTTGTGCAGTTAGTACTAATCCCATTGCGTGCCAGGCGAGGTTAACCGAAAAGGTCTCGACGAGTTGATCTAGAAAGATTGGGAAGGCAGAAGCGTTTTTCATAAATTTGTTTAACACAAACCACCAAATGCATTCTAGGGTAATTTAATCCTGCGTTTTGGAATTAACGTTTATATCAGAGTAACCTTCGCGTGATTTGTTGACCTTTTTGAGGCATCAACGCGATCGTCCCGGGACATGCATTAGTTGTATGGCAATTTTAAATGATTTTTTAAATACTTTTATTGTTTTTTTTTAAGTCGAACTGACCTCGATAAGTGGTTCATATTGAATTCAAAGGATCTGATTTCTCCATTGACACATTGATCCTATTTTAATGGTTAGTTTTAGTACATCCCAAAGCGCCCTTGCTAACCTGCCGCATTATGTTCTAAGCAGACGAGTAACTTAACATCCTTATTGCATCAAACTCTCCTTTGCGCTTAATTACTTGGGTGTTAGTAATTAAAATAAAAGGATTTTTGTAAGTTTGGAAATTAAGAACCAATAGGCTCTCGTACAGTGAACCTTTGAAGAACTGATGGACCTCATTGGGTCAGTGAAATACCAAGAATGGTGTATTGCATGAGTCCAATCCCATAAAGAGAATAAATTTGTATTTAAACTGAGTTTGTACCTTTGGCGATATGCAAATGCTATGGTTACAACCTCGCGGTTCCACTCACGTCAAGCATCAGCAACACCACATTAAGAATATAATTTAACAATAATTCTTGCAAAATTTGTTTTATTAGATTACTATCCAAACAGAAATTCAGTTTGTTGTAGGATTGTTTCAAGTTGAGTAATAACTTGCCTTCTACCATGAGTTATCTATTTACATATGTGTTTGGAGTATCAGATTACCATCTGGCAGGAAGTTAAGTCGTTTTCTTTTAATTTTGTCTCGCTATCGATATACCCACTGGAACTTTCAGGTACGTGAGATGCAAGAACATCAGAATCCATTTTCCTTTTCTTTTGTAGCAAAATTTCGCCAAGAAAGTTGGGTGTGCTTAGTCTCCCCAGCAAAGGAAATGCGCACGGAAAAGTTCAAGCTGCACGCGGACGGTTCTTGTAACAAAATTTGCAAAACTCAGCACAAATGACGCAGTTGATAAAGATTTAACGAATGTTGTGGGATTTTAATAAGGACCATTTCTAATGCTAGAATTTTCTGACTGCATTTATTTATACTCACGTTTATTATGGACCTGTTGAGCTTTAGCATTGATGGTGTCACGAGATTTTGCTGAAATAATTACGCTGAAATTAACTCGAAAACACGCCATCTTATATACCTGAGTTACCAAAGAAATAAATACACACTAGTACGTTCTATGCGGACAATCTCCTTTCATTTATATGCCTAATTTTGAAGAAAAATATGTCGCCGATTTGGTGTAAATTTCCCCGTAACTTCATTCACACCTTAGTTTTGAAATGCTGACACCGCAACAAACTCCCGACAGCAAAGATATTTATCCTGGGCCGATGACACTTTAGTGGTTTCTCCTTATTTGTGCTCAAGTCAACATTTAAAAATTCAGAAATATTTAGTTCATTCTAATGCTCGAAGTTTCACAACTCAATGGTTTTTGGTAAATTATTTCCCAAAAAATACATTTTGGGTAGCTTTATAGCGAGATGAGAACTTGCTTGTTCAGCTTCTAGTACAGAAACGAATTTTGGCAATAATTTTCCCTCAACATTTTGTGGACAACAGCTGGGTAAATAAGGGCCCCAAGAAACTGCGTTCTCGCCTTCTGTTTGAAACGCTACCCGCATTGAACATACGCTTGACTTAAATCAGAATTAGACGACATCTGATTATGCCAAATCACCAGTTTGCTCCAAAATTTCAAAATATGGCTGTGCAAAGAAATCGCGGTCAGCCCTTAAGTTGAGACTTCGAACTCGGGCTGACTGCTTTCATCACGAAGTTAACAAAAACTATAATCCAGACTGTGCGACAATGAACACAAACTGCTTTTATTTTTGCGCCTATTTGAAATAGGAATAACGTCAGTATAATGGCATAAACGTTCCTCGTGCCGATAGGCTAGCGCATTGTGGAAAGATTCTGGCCTAATTCAGTGCCATATTGTGACAAAATTTTGGATTTTAAAAACTCGAAAGTTTTTTACCTCAAATTAAAAATTTTAATCCGTCACACACAAAATAGGTTAGTTATGGCTAATGCAACGGTTTCTAAATATCTGATTTGCAAGTGTTAGATTAGCAGTCATGCAAAAGTCCGGGTGAGAGTTCAGCTATACGTCTACGAAATCCTGACCTGGCTGAATGCTTTGGCCTCTCACAAACATGGCACCGACAAAGCAACAAGCCATTTACAATGGTCGCTAAAAGGCTTTACACGAATCCATTTCATTTGTCAGTATATAATCTTATGAAGCAGTGAATTTTATCTAGTTATATTTAATTTCTTGCCAAAACTTTAAGAAGGTAAATTTCACCTTTTTCATCGTGGACTGGCGAATAATGAGAATGATTGCGTAAGTAAAGTTTAAGGGTAGGCGTTGTCGAGAGCATCAACTCAAACAGTGAGCTTAACTTTTCATAATATTGTACTTCGGTAGCAATATTGCCAGATTAAGTGTTCACAGCAATCCAATTATTTTTAAATGCACTATTCGAGGGAGATTTGAAGTTTCTCAGGATTCAAACAAGGCGCTTATTATTTCACACGACTCCTAACAACTTTGGTCTAGCGTTCGTAAAGAAGGATGCTCATGGGCTAAAGCCTGTATTTTACTGCCAACGCAGCAAAATCCATATCGCAGCCTGGCTATTTTCCCCTCCCAGACGCGTGCTTCTGAAATGTACAGAGAGATTAAATTGGACCTCTTCCGCTGCCTAGTCGTTTTACCTATGCCCTAACCTGAGTGGTCATAGGCTTTTGCAGTAGGCATTAAAGACAGTGCAGTTGAAACTGTTCTCCGCGCATTTATGAACCCATGGGTATCGTCATTCGGTGTTCCAGTTCTATGACATCTGCTCGTGGAACACACTTCACGTTTTATTTATTTGAACATCTAAATCGCCTCCTTGGACGCAAACCCTTTCGAACTACAGCACACAGTCCAGCATCCAACAGCTTGGTTGAGCGTTTCCACCGTCAATCGAAAGCAGCCATTATTGCAAAATCCGCCTCTGAAAACTTGTCTGATTCATTACGCTTGATTTTAATGGCCATACGCAACGCGGCAAAAGAGTATATCGACTCCACGCCAGCAGAACTCGTGTTTGGCACGGCCTTGTGTTTACCTGGCGAAATGGTCAAAAATCCTGACAACTATGCTTGTATCCCCTTTTCAGCCTACGTCGATCAGTTGAAGTGCTTTAGGTGGGAAATTCGGGCAACACCAACATTAATTTTCTTCCATCAAGCACGGATTCAACCGAGTTTGTACACTTCCTTCTGTATTTTGGGCCGCGTGGATGGTGATAAAAAAATTTTACAACCACCGTACGATGGTCCCTTTAAAGTGGTAAAAGGCGACGGCAATTTGTTACAATTGAAAAAATTTGATCTCTTGATACTGTGAGTGCAGACTGACTAAAACCAGCCTACACAGATAAGAACAACGTTCTCTCTCTTTATCCAAACAACGACGAACTTCCACACTTTCCTCTATCCCCGCCCTGTCCTGCGTCCCGTTTTCACTGATCCCTAAAATCACCAGTCCGCTTTGCTGATTCATTTTAGTAATTTTTGAGCGTTTAATGTGTCTCAGCTAACACTTTTAAGGGGAATGTTTGTAGTAAAATTTCATCAAACGAGGACGAGTGAAGCTTTTTGACAATTTGATCGAATGTCATCAATTGTTGATCACTGTCGGCGTTCGATATCCACTCTCGCGTTGTGCTATAAAAGACTCGGATGGTCAAATATAAGTGAAAAGCGTTATATTCGCTATCACTTGTCTTGCCCCATTTCTTGGGCTGTTGTGGACTAGCGACTAGATGGGTTGTAAGGTAGTTCTAACCACGCCGCTACAGATCTATTCGTAGCGATTTTTTATAATCATAAAAAGATTGGTATATGCAGTCGCTGGAATACGAAGATGCAGTGAACCTCCATCAATCAAGAGCGAGTGAAGCGTATTCACGAGTTGGTCGAATGTCATCGAATGTGGATTACAGTTGACGTTCCT